TATTATTTTCATTTTCCAGTTTTTCCAGCGTTCGAGATGATGAGTCCATGATTTGACCATCTGCAGACATGTTCAACGTCAATTTATCCAAGTTTAACGGAAGCTGGCAAAACTTCTGTTAATCATTTTCCATACCTGTCAGTTATTCTAAAAGAACATAAACGTTTTCATTAAAACTCAAAATGTCTCTTTCTTCTGACCAGATGCGCTTCTGGAGCCCCGAATGTTTTTGTTCATTCACTCACATATGTGTCCGTAGTTTTAATCTACACTGGAGCGCGACGCGTAGTTCGGGTTGCGGAATGGTTCGTGACGTAAGCACGCAGTTTACCAATCAAAGTTGGCGTTCGCAAACGTTGCGTTCGTGCGCGACGCGTCTCTGATCTGGTTACTGAATGAGTAGTGACGTGGGCACGCGTTCCACCAATCCAAGTTGGCGTTCTCGCAGGTTGCGGTCTAGCGTTCCGTCTGCGCTTTGTAACAGTTTCTTTTATAATTTCGACGCACTCCACTTTAACAAAACAACGCACACTTGAAAATCTGTTTTTAAATGACGTAAAGTCACTGATTAGCAAGAATTCAATTTTACTCAAGCGACACAAACTGTAAACAGCTGAGCGTTTCATTAAAGTTTTACACTTAATGTTGTGCTTGGGTGAATCATCGTCTCACACAACCTGTTTGAAACTGTTTATTTAACATCAAACTTGTACAGTGTACTTTTCTGAGGGAGAAAATACAATAATTTCACAGAAAAGACAAGCTCATCAAAACATGATTTTCTTCATGCAACATTTTGTTCTGTTACAGAAACAGATCTAACACATCTTTCTGAATGACAAGAGGCAAAATAATCCAAATTAGATTTTAAACTACATAAAACAGTACCTGTCAGATTCTGTGACTAGGATTCAAAATATAGGTGAATGCCATTTTAAGTACATTTAATGTCAGTGATCAGTTAAGGTCATATGTGAACTTTAATAGGCAACACATAGAAAGAAAACATGAGAAGATGGCCATTTGGTTTTCATACTCCTTTCACATTCATATTTATCTCCTAAAACGAACAAGATTCTGTTCAAAATTCAAGTTTTTGTCTCTAGTGTCTCTCCAATATTATGACCAGTGTTTAAGCACAGAAACATATTTAGAAGAGTTTGGTTAAACCAGAACATATCCCACAAAGTCTAAGCAGATAAAAAGAGAAAATTGATATGTATTGCTTAACAACCACCCAGATATATATAGTACTGGTCTGAGAGCAGATCACTGAAACCGGTCAAGCATACAGAACACGATCAAGCACACATACACAGGATAACATAATCACACATTTAATCCCATCAGCCCTGACCACACATGTAAAGCGAAGACACACTAATCTCTATCACTGAGAATGGACGGTGATGAACAGTGGAAATGCTCATGCCTCCTTGCGTTTAATGATCAGAGGACCAACGTTGTCTCCCGTTTCCTGATTGTGTTTAGCATGTGCGCCATCACAGTATGGAAACTGTAAGAAACCAGAGAAAACAATTACATTAAAAACGCATCACAGCGAGTTTCATGTCACTGATGCTAAAAACCAAGTTTTGGCAAGTTTATTCAGCAGGGACTCAGATTGAACTGATCAAAAGTGACAGTTAAGAATTACGCAATGTTACAAAAGATTTCTTTCAAATAAATGCTGTTCTTTTGAGATTTTTATTCATCAACGAATCCTGAAACAAAATCACAGTTTCCACAAAAAATATTAATCAGCACAGGTGTTCTCAACATTGATAAGAAGAAGAAATGTCTGTTGAGCAGCAAAGCAGCATATTAGAATGATTTCTGAAGGATCATGTGACACTGAAGAGCGGAGTAATGATGCTGAAAATTCAGTTTTGCATCACAGATATAAATTACATTTTAAAATATTTTACAATAAAACAGCTATTTTGAACTGAAATAATATTTCACAATATAACTGTTTTTACTGTATTTTCCATCAAATAAATGCATCCCCTTGGTGAGCATAAGAAACGTCAAAACTATTACAAAATTTTACTGATCCTAAACTTTTTTCGCTTTGGATGAAATGGATATTTTCCCCTTCTGCTGCTTTTAAGATCACAGTTCAAAATAGCCACTAGTGATGTTCCCATGGCCTCAGAACAATAATAGTCACATGGAATTTAAAACTTAGGTGATTGGCTAAATATTTCAGGAACTGAAAATCCACGAGCAAAGACAACAACTGCTTCCAAAATAACATATTTTCTGAGCAGGTTCTTCTTTTGAATAAGCAATTACTTAGTGACCATCAAAAAGAATGAATGAGTGTAGTATAAATGTAATCTAGACATACTACATTCATCATAGTAGGTTGTAAGGTCCACGCACTTGGCCCAATGAAGGTATCCAGTGGTGGATGAAGGTTTCTTGCGTGTTCGGTCTTTTCAGCGCGCAAAGTTATTCAATTTAGGTTTAACTCAAATCTGACTCCATTTTATTATCTAATCTGACTCCATTTTAGTATGACCTCGAATTTAGGTTGAAAGGCAAATTGGTTGTTTGTCGGTCTCTAATTATTCTGACATTCGAATATTCTAGTTAACTCTTTGCTTATATATTTACTCGTTCATTAGGAGGGGAAGGAAGGGGATGAGGAAAAACCAATGCATATGTGAAAGACGTTTCCCACATTTTCTCTTAGTGAGATGCGGAGACAGATTTCTGTATGTTAATGCACTGTGTGTGTATTGTCTGTCTCAGAAGATCAAAGTATCTGAGTTTCTTTTATCCTTACAAGGTCATCCAGCGACATCTGCCTTTTTTTTATTTATTTTTTTGGAATACTGTAATTTTGGACATACTATAGTTCACATACAGTTTTTTTGCCTACTATATAGTAGGGAAGTATGTGATTTTGAATGCAGCCAACAGTCAAAAAGTCACCTGTTGCAGGGCCAGGTCAATGGCAGTTGGATTCGCCCCTGCAATACGTGACTAGCAAGCACTGCAGGAGTTAAATGGGAACGCTAACAGACAGGTTCAAGATAAACACCTCCTTGTATTAATCACACCCAACTGTCCATGTATTATATGTACATAATAAACATCTCTCCTGGTTTCATGAAGGTTAGTTTCAGATTCTGGCTTCAGCAAGATGTCCAGGAGAACAATCACAATTCTGATGCAGCAGTTTCTGTATTTTGAGTGTTGATGGATCAAAGTTAAACGTTTCTGTCTAATGTCTAATGGCAGTTTCTCAGATGTTTTCCATTAAGCACTTTCTCACCTTTTTGGATCTCCAGCACCTACAGTACACAGCTTTGTCGCCCAGGTCTTCCATGTCAAACGCATGTACCACTTTGGGGTTGTCTTTCTGCAGATCAAGGTTGACCTTTGGCTTCATGCATTTGCTTTTGCTAAAATATGATTTGTAGATGAGGATTCCCACTGCTGCAGCTCCAAATGTCACAGACACTGCAGTGATGATCTCAGCTGGAGGAGCACAGAAGACATCTTACCACACAGAGCCTTTTACTCCAGTAACATCACAGTGACAAATCTAAAACACTGAGTACCATAGGAACTAAATCCATGTTAGTTATAAATAACCCATTTTTACATAGGCATGTATAAATTAGAATAAAAATACTTAAAAGAATATCATAAAATATTAATATTATTACTTATATTAATTAGGCTAAATAAAACTAAAGATACTAAATAAATAGTTTACGTTTCTCTATGACTACACAGTGACAGATCTACTGTTTGAACCATTAAACGTTGAAACTGCATTAAATAATCATAGTAACTACATCCATGTCAGTTACTGAAACTATATTTAATTTCTTGAAACCTGATACGAACAGAGATAGTCTATTAGATTGTCAACGATGCAGCGAGCAAAAGAGAACAAATGAAGACATTCAGAGACGCTCGCTTACATATAACAACCTGTTGATGTGTGTTTGTGAACCATATCTTCCATATTTCAGTTTATTTCAGTAGTTTCTAATAAACTACTGCTAAAATTCCGACCATAGACACATACAGCGTGAGCAAAACAGTACATTTGCCTTACAAAACACCTTTATATAACATCTTTAATGGAGGTCTTTACCTTTATGGAAGGAGTTGGACGCGCTCATGGTTAATTATTATTGTTTTGTATTATTATGATTATTTTTTGCTCATAATTTAAAGAGCTTCAATCGTCCTCAACGCCAAATGGAGAGTTCAATCTGATTAACTGTGCGCTGTATTTACGCAGAACGCGAGTTATTAAGCAACTGATGGACTTTTACTTTGACTTTGCGGTTGCGCATGTGGTCGGTGAAGGTTGAATTGAGTGTGATTATTATTATTATTTTCCTACAGGTCAATACGAGCGTTAAAACCTAAAGAAAAGTATCTGTAATTTTAAAAAATGTGTAACAAAGTTTTATATAAATGATTAATTTCCTATTGATTTATTTAAACGATCTAAAAGTTCAAATGAATTCATATTATTTTATTTTGCCACTATTTTCATACAGTGAATGTGGATTGTTTTAAATACAGAGCCCCAAATATTTATAAAACTATATTTATGGTTAAAATTTTGGGTTGAAAGGCGTGACAGTAAGCAGTTGTCAATTTTTTGTGTGACTTTTTAAAACCATTTATAAAAACAATACTTTTATTTTGAAGTAGTGTACAGGAAGTCTTGCGCTACTTCCGAGATCACGTTGACAAACACACACGTGTGTGCCCAGCAGCATGGATCTTAACAAGTGGTGCAATTTAAAGTCCGAACCGAGTTTAAAACATTTGACAGAGGCAGAGTTCGGTGTCCTCTGTTATTTTTTTTTTTTTTACGTGTAACAGCGTTTTATATAAAATGATTTATTTCTTAGCGATTTATTTAAAGTTTAATTCAAATTAATTCATAATACACTTTATTTTGCCACCATTTTCATACAGTCAAAGTGGGTGGTTTTAAATGTTACATGGAGCTCCAAATAATTATAAAACTACATTTATGGTTACAATTCTGGGTTGAAAGGCATGACAGTAAACGATTGATCTTTTGTGTGCGTGTGACTTTTCAAAACCATTCATAAAAATAATACTTTTATTTTGAAGTAGTGTAACAGGAAGTCTTGCGCTACTTCCGAGATCACGTTGACAAACACACACGTGTGTGCCCAGCAGCATGGATCTTAACAAGTGGTGCAATTTAAAGTCCGAACCGAGTTTAAAACATTTGACAGAGGCAGAGTTCGGTGTCCCGAAAGAAAAGCAACGCGTGTCCGTGCAGGAGCTGGTGAAGGCGCACATTGAGTCATTTGATCAGGCAGTTACTGATGGATTATGTCGGGTTGTGGAGGTGAGGTGCAGACACACACAAACACACGTGTTTATACACATGTAAATTCTCTACAGACACTAGA